AGGGACGAGAGGGCCACGGCTTCCCCTTTAGAGCAGGATCTGCTGGCCCCGAGCTTGCCCCAAGGCCAAGGCCCGGAGAGCCGGCGCCGCCCCCGGGCCAACAAGCCCGAAGGGCCCCCCCCGTGGGGCCGGTGGGGCCGCGGCGGCTAAAACGGGGCGGTCGTCCCTTTAAGGCGAGGCCTCTAGTAGTCCAGCCCCCCGGCCCCTTTAAGACGACCCGACGGTGTCTAGCCGGCCAAGTGCGGTGGCCGCCCCCTGCTAGGGGTCGAGGCAAGTCTCCCCGAGGAAGAGGAAGGGCCACCCCTTTAAAAGGGGCCGAAAGCTCGCCCCGAAACGCAGACCTCCCCTTTAAAAGTGTCTCAAGTCCTCCGGCCAAAAGAGGCCACCCCTTTAATGAGTTCAGGGTCCGCCTAACAGTAGGCCGCCCCTTTAAGGACTGGGGAGTTAGTTCCCAGTAGTCCACAAGCGACCACTTCCCCTTTAAACTAAGTTTAAAGGACTTTTTGCGAGGAAGGTAAAAGGAGGTTAGAAACGCCACTCGCCCTAATTCTCCCAACAACACAGTTCTCAATTTGTCAGCGTCTGTTCAGCGGCTTCCCCTTTAAGGCTGGCGTTGGCGTCTGCCGAGTTCAGCGGCCACCCCTTTAAGGAGATTTAAAGGGGCATCCTCCGGGCCCAGCTCCTCCAGCCTCCGCCTTCGGTCGCCATGAAAGGCGCGAGGGGGGGCGGGGCCGCGGGGCCAGCCCTCCAAAGCCCCGGATGTGAGGCAACGGTGACGGGTAAAGCTTCGCCGTCTGCCGACATAAAAGTCTTTTCCTTTCTTCCGTCTCTGTCTGACTTGTGTGTTAAGGGTTCCGAGACGGCCGTTAGGCAGCACGGGAGCTCCAGCACACCCTCCTGTTGTCTCCTTTGGAGTCTTGGGCCTCTTCTCCACCAGGGCTTCCCTGCCCCACCTCCCCCTTCCTCCTCAGCCTACGCCTCCTTCCTCTCTCTGCCTCCTCCCACACTGCCCCCGCCCCTTTCTGCCCACCCCCTCCTCCAGTCTTAGTCGTTGATAGGCCGAGGAGTTTACGTCAAAACGAAGGGCTGAGTTAAGATCGGGGAAGTGGGCGATATGTAACCACCCTCAAATCTCGGATTGGTATACAGCAGATAGACCCCGCCCCGCAGAACTTGTCACTCAACTGGTTAGAAGTAGGTACTTGGGGAGGTCCTCCAGAGGACCCGCCTCTTCCTGTTCGTCACTGATTGGTCGGTCTTTTGACGGCGTTGAGACGGGAGGAGTTGGGATATAGTGCGTGAATTTTAAGTAGCGGTTGGCCGCTGGGCGGCGCGCGGCCGCGGAAGGTGCTGTCCGAGCAGCTAGTGAAGTCATCTCTTCCTTTCTGCCACTTGGTTTAGCCCGCTGGCTGCTTGCGTCTCGCGCACGCGCGTGTTGTTAGCATCACCCAGTTGGCAGCTCAGCTGGATCGCTCCGCGGAGCGATAGGGCTGGAGCGCACCGCGTGCTTTGCGGGAGACTGGCGCAGTGGCAGAAAGCCGCGGTCCGTTATCGCTCGGTTCACTTGAGAGATGTCTGGCTTGCAGTCTCCACGCTCTAATAACTGTAGAACGGCACTTCGCATTTGTGCTAGACACCTTCTCATGTGTTAACTCATTTTGTAGTTATTCTGTTAAGTAGGCACTGCTACTGGCCCCATTTTACGGAGAAAGAAAACTTGACAAACAGATTGTTTCTTAGCAAGTTTTTAGACTCAAGAAGCCTCCAGGGTCTGCATTTAGCCACTCTATTTTGCCTCTAAGTTATAAAATATGCAAAGTTCTGGCCTAATTGCCTGGGCTACCATTTTTAATACGAACAACGCATTGTAACTCACCTAGCTTGCTCTCGCATGTGTAAAATGACTTCTTATTCCCACTCACAGGGTGACCGTCTGTTGTAGATGCTTAATTACAGCTAATTATTCTTAGTTCCTGAATCCAGCAGCAGCTCCTGGTCTGCATGTCAGGAGGAACTGAATTGACTGCCATTTGACCAAGGCCTTGGTCCACTCGGCCTTTCAGTCTCCATGATGTATGAGAACTGGGAGAACCTGGCCCTGCCCAGGGTCTGTACAGGTCACAGGGTCATCTGGACCAGATTCAGAAGGGCTCTTCCACACAAAATTCTTACATGGAGACAGACTCCCCAAAGATCATGTCTCACCCCCCTTTCTCTGTGCCCAGCTCCCATTACTATTAGCTTGCATTGCCCCCATTTCCAAGTCCTCTGGGGGCAAAAGTGGAAACAGCCAATAACTGCCAATCACTCTCAATCTCAGCCAAAGATATACAAGAGAGTCAGAAACATATTGAAAACTTTACTAGAAATATAGAGAAAAAAAATTAATAACAACTGCCTCAGGTGGCTCCCCCCACTCCAAGATGGATGGATGGACGGACAGATGACACTCCTAGGTCCAGTGGGGCTGCTCCCCATCCATTTCCTCCTCCTCCTTCTCTTCCAGGAGCAACGCATCTAGCTCCTCCAGCCGTTGCTGCAGCAGCGGTCCCACGTCTGGGTTAGGGGCCAGGTTGGGAGTAAGGGTCCTGCCTGCTGCAGCACGTACCCCTCTGCAGGGCCGTCGGGAGCGAGGAAGGCTGCTGTCCCGAAATTCTACAGCCCTCCGGAGCTTCCTTGAGCTGGTGAAGATCAGAGTTCCATTGCGTTCCCGGGGTTCCTCAAAGATGGTCTCAAAGGTCCTGCCGGGCCGGGAGGGGTGCTGGTCACCACCGTGTCTCCTGGTTTCAGCCTTCCCTCTACCACCCATCAGCCCTCAGTTTCTCACCTCCTGGTTGTGGGTGATTGGTAATTCTTGTTGGTGTAAATTTCTTCCAAGCTGAACTCCTTCTTGTTCAACCTGGAGGCAAAGGGCAGAGGCCACTAAGAAACCTGGGGCAAAGTGGGTCTGCAGCTGTCATAGCTGCCCAGCAGGAGTGGGCAAGGCCTGGTAATATATACTCCAGCTTCTCAGACAAGTCAGGGTCCAGCAGTGCTACCAAAGTCAGGTTGTTCCAGGCTCAAACTCTATCCTTCCAAATGGAATACTCCAGGCTGGTCTAGGATCCCTGACAAAGTCACCCTGCAGGAATCCAAGCCCACACATTTGGCCAAGGCACTGACATGGGCAGTGAGTGAGCCTCTCACCTGACTGGTCGAGGCAGCCCCATGGGCGTAAGGTTGTGTTGAGGCCGGGCTGGTGTCCTGCGTATTCTAAATCGAGAAACCTTCCCCATGCTCTGCACAGAGGGAGCAGAGGGTGAGAAAGTGGCATGGGCTCAGGCCTCCACTTGGCACCTCACCATCACCTGTACTCCACTCCTACCTTGGTCTCAGGGTCTGAAAGGACCTGGTCCTCTGGGGCCCTTGGCTCCTTCCTCTGGGGTGAGCCCAGCCTGCAGAGAAGGTCAAGGTTCAGGGGCAAACAACATTCACAGCAACAGACCCATCCAAGGCCATGGCCAGGGCGTGAAGGTGCAATTACTGAGGGCGCTACCTGGGGTCTGCAGGCTCAGAGTAGGAGGACGTGGACGCAGTGGACGAACAAGATGTGGTGAGGGGAGGGGAGGCTCCCACTCCTCCGAGAGGAAACACCTCTTTCCGGAGACAGGGCCGAGGTGGTGGTGGGGCTCGGGCCATCTCTCCACCACCCACGGTATGGCGCCGGGGACGAGGACGGCTTAGATGGGCTGGGATGGGGAGCCAGGTGCGGGCACCTGGGCCAGGGGGCCCTAGATCAGGGCAGGAGTGGCTTCGGCCCAGAGAGGGCTTAGGGAGCAACGATGAGGGACCGTGGTCCTGAGCCCGCCACTGGCGGATAGGCGGCCGGGGACTGACGGTTGTGACACCCTCAGGTGCCCTGGACTGCTCAGCTTCTGAGATGGCAATCTTCAACTCTAGCTTCATGGGAGGTGCCGGGGGTGGGGGCTGCGGGGCTTTGTTGGGTGTGAGGAAGATGTCGGCAAAGCTCTCCAGCTTGGAGCGGACGGAACGGAAGAGGGGGGCCAAGCCCCAGGGACTGAGACGGGGACGTAAAAGGCTGGACGTCGGTGGGGTTGATGGGGACTCCAGGTCAGGATCTGGGGCTGAGGAAAGGAGACAGTCATAGGTGGGCTCTCCCCAGCTACAGATGTCTAAGCCCCATGTCAACAGCCTCAGCACCGTCCTGTTCCCCCTCCACTAAGCTTTGCTCACAGAGGACTAGGCCCACTCCTGCCAACTAAGCCCCTCATTTCAGAGTTGAACCTCAGGGCCCTGAAATCTCAATCTCATCCTCATGTGCCAGTCTCTGCCCTTGTCGGGGTGGTTAGTGCCATAGCATCCACTCCTGACCCATGGCAACTCCACGCACAAGGGGGTGAAATGCCGCCCAGTCCCGTGCCCTCCCCGCAATCGGCTGCAGATTGGACCGTTGTATCCCATAGAGTTTTCACTGGCTGATTTTGGAAGCAGATCACAGGTCTTTCTTCCTGGTCCACCTTGGTCTGCAAGCTCCACTGAAACCATTCAGCGTCCACCGACAGACACACACCTCCACTGACAGACAGGGGGTGGCTGGGCATAAGGTACAATGGCTGAGCATCGAACTGGGTCTTCCGCACAGAAGGGGAGAACTCTACTGCGGAACCACCAATGCTCTTAACTGAAAACTCACTACCATCCAGTCGGACCTGACTCACAGCAACCCCTCCTTGGGTTTTCAAGGTGGTATCACTACGGAAGCAGATTGCCCAACCTTCGTTCCGAGGAGTGGCTGGTGGATTTGAGACACCAGCCTTCTGGTTAGCAGTCAAATGCCTTAGGCACTACGCCACCAGAGCTCCCACCAATGATCTTAGAGGTGTCTAAATTCACTTTAACACACTAGTCTTCACCCTTAGGAGGTCTAAATCCCACCCTCAAACACCACATTTTGCCCCCAGAGAATCTAAAACCCACTTTCACATACCAAGCTCTGCCTTGCAAGGCGGCTGAGCCCCACCCCTACCTCTGTACCTGACACTTCCAAGCTCTACCAGGATTTTTCCGCATGCCAATCTCATCCATCTGCCTAAGTCCTTACCTGGTGGTGGGCTCTCTGAATGGCCTACAGGCAGGGCAGGTGACTGGAATGGGGGTTCCAGGTCCCTGGGCACAGGCAGTGGCTGGTGAACCACTGTCATGGGCTCGGCTCTGCAGTGAAGAGGCAAAGAAGGTGAAGGCTAGGGGAGCTTCCGAGACCAGTTCCCACCTGAGCCAGAACCTCCCCTTGTCCCTTAAGGCTTTAGAAAGTGCTACAAAGACTGGCGAAGTAAACCCTGAAGGTCCCAGCTCTGGCTCTCAGAGGTATTAGCTATTGAGGATCGCGTCCCTCGCCCTCTTACCTTCGTGCTGGAACGATGAAGTTGGAGGTCTCGTGGACAAAACCCTGGATATAAATAGGGCATGTATGTGAGGAGGTGGGGAAGCTGCCTGTGACCTGCCCCCCGGGCCTCATTTAGCTCTTTGCCCCATACTCTCAGTCTCCAGCTGCCTGCCTGGGTTCACATCAAAGACTATTTGACACATCTTTGCTCAGGCAGTGTCTACCATCTAAAGTGTCCTGACCAAAGCCACCCTAGACTCAAGGCTCTCTCGCTATCTTCTCTCCTCCTGGAACGCCCGCCCTAGCTGACCCTCTGCTAGCCTCACCCTAAGTTCTAGTACCTCAGCTGGGGGCCTGGGACCAGCAATGTCTTCCAGCATCACCACCAGGGTGGGCTGGGGGACCCGGTCCACCTCCTGTGAAGAGGACTCCTCTGGGCCAGGGCTTGTCCTTGGTCGTCGCCTCAGCGTTGAAGGGGGCCGGTGGACACGGCTCAAGGGCTCTCGGCACAAGTGCAGAGGATTGGGAGACCTAAACGGGGAACAGGAAGATTAGAGGGGCCCACCTGTGTCCCCAGCTTACCCTCCATCCTGCCATGCTCACCTGGGCTGTGGGGACCACACAGACTGTTGGGATGCTGAGGCAGGTGGTTGGCTGTGGACGGAATCCCAATGGTTGCTGTGGTGCAGAGGGATGGACGCTTCCTCTTGGGGCACCAGAGGAGCCTACAAGAGGAGGAGGTGTCAAGAGCAGGGTGATGGAAGACGGTTGGCCTGGGCAGGGTCCCCTGTGCCTAACAGTGCTCTCAGCCACAAAGGTAACAGAGATTGGGACTAGAATGCACTCAGTATCTCCAAAGAAGAAGCGCCTTAGACTGAGTTAGGGGCCAGATAGGTATTAGAACATTCCGAACTGCACAAGTTTATGACCTAGGTAATTTTCTCACCCAGGCTGTTTGGAGAAATGAAAAGTGACCTTGGGTGAGTCTTTGCCATATTTTATGCCCTAGTTATTCTTATCAGGAGCTCTGGTAGCATAGTGCCTAAGGCACTTGACGGTTAACCAGAAGGCTGGTGATTCAAACCCACCAGCCCCTCCTCGGAAGCAAGGTTGGGCAATCCTACTTTCGTAGTGATACTGCCTCGGAAACCCAAGGAGGGGTCACTATGAGTCAGGGCCAACTCGATGGCATATAACAACAACAGCAACAACAGTTATTCTTATCAGTAGAACCAATAGCCTCAGCCTATTTCCCAGGGACTCCCTTAGAGGTTTGCCTGAGAAGAAAGTGGAAAGGTTTCTCAGACTCAAGGAGGAGGAGGAGTCTGGTTTCAGCCCAACAGGTTTGTTGGTGAGGAATAGACACTGAAAATCCTACCCAGTTCCAGGCTGGAATAAGTGGGAACCAAGCAGGACTCTAACACGGAGGCATGGGAATGCCATGTTTGGACCCATGTCATCCTCACTAAGGGTCTCATCTGACTTTGGTACTGAGGAGTATGTCTGTGTGTGTGCCTGTGTGTGTGTGTGTGTGTGTGTGTGTGTGTGTGTGTGGTGAGGTATCTCTCAGTCCAGGGGGCTCACCATGTGGGCAGCCATGACATCTTCCAGCACCACGGCAAGGACCCGTCGGGAGGCTTTTTCCAGGGGCGAAGGAGCCCCCTGGAGCTGCAGCCTCGGCCGCTTTGGGCTCCCAGCTGCCCATAATGCTCGCGCTAGTGGCTGGCGGCACAGACGCGGCGGGCCAGACGGGCTGGAGGGTGAGGGAAGCAGAGGGCGGTTGCCTGAGTCGGTCGCAGGCTCTGTGGTTTCCCAGCACTGCCGCCAGGCTCCCGGATCAAGACAGGCGGGCAGGGTGCGCTCTCACCTGGAGTCCCCGGGCAAGTCCATGGGGGAAGCGGTGGCTCCGGGGGGTCCCTGAGGGATACCAGGCTGCGGCCTGGGGTAGGGGGGGAGCGGGGGAGCGGGGAGTAAGGGCCAGCCCCTCCCCCGGGGCTCCGCCCTTCATGGCCCGCGGCGCCCAGCAGCTCACGGGCCGGAGCCCTAGGGCGTGGATGGGCGCCCCCAGCAGGCCGCGGCGATCACCGGATCACTGGCACCCTGCCTGGCACCTGCCGCGAGAACCTGGATGGCGGCGGCCCCAGTTCTCCCCACGGCCCAAGCCTCCCGGGGCCTTTGTCCCTGAAGATTCCGCCCTGAAATCCCCCGGGATCCGCTGGGATCCCGGTCCTGGGAGGCTCCGCTTCCGCCGGATCACTCTGCGATCCTCCTCCACTCAGAGCGAGTAACCGAGGCCTCTGAAGCAATATTCCCACACACCGACGACCCCCCTCCCCAGAACCCCTAGACTGGATCCCCGCGGAAAGAATCCTACAGCGCGGTTCCGCCAATCAGACGCCGCGCGAGGATCCTCCTCCCCCTGTGAGCTCCGGCTCCGCGAAGCTCCACTCAGACAAGGGCAGCCCGAGCTTGAGCATCACGGATCTCGGTCTCGATCCCGAGAGATCCACTGTCAAGCAGATAGCCCTTCACTCCAATCGGGGAGTCCCGCCCACAGGCACCCTCCCCCTGCCCTCCCTGGATCCCGCCCAGCGCCTCCCCCACCGCAGGAACAGAAGGTTCATATGTTTCCTCTCCCCCACTCCGCTCCTCCCGCCCTCTCTCCAGCCGCTCCGTGCCCTCCCCCGCGCGCCGCTCACCGCCGCCTCTGGCGGATCCCGGGTCTTCGACGGCTCGCACCTCCGGCTCCTTTAAAACCAGCCTTACCTACTCCTGCCCAACCGCCGAGGGCCTTCTTCTCGGAGCCTTTGGGGACCGCCCAATCGCTGGTCCCCGTCTTCCGGGGTGGTGAGAAACGAAGTGAAGCCGCCTTCGAGGCCATCATCCCTAGGGGCAAGAAGCCAAATTGGGCAGAGTCGCCATCATAGTTGAGGGCAGGTAGCGTAGTCCTCGATGAACCGAGGTGGACGGGATGGCGTCATCTTTTGTAGGCCAGTCAGTGGGCGAAGGCTACTTCAGGTTTCCTGAGACATTTAGGGAACCCGGGTGAAGCTTGACTGCCGCCACGTTTTTTAAGGGCATCTTCCGGTTCTCTCACTTTAGGCCAATAAACGTGAACTGAGTGCTAACGATATGTGAACCTTCCAATTTGCTAGAGAGGCCCTATTTGAGGCCGCTTCCCGTACCTTTCGGGGTTTCCCAGCTGTCTTCGGTCCTGCAGAGTCAAAACGGGCTTCCCACGTCGCACCGTCAGTGTTTGGGAAAAGGAGGCGGGGGCCTTAAGGTTCGAGCAGCCTTGGCCAGGAGCTAGAGCTAGTGCGTTCTCCAGCCTCGCTGCTCACAGTAGATGTGCTGGAGGGACTGGGGTGAGCCGTAGTTGGGGAGGAAGCTGGGAGAAGTAAACTTCACTTCACCTGAGCGGTTGATACTTCTTCCCAGAGGAGTGGTGGTGTCTGCGGCCCGCGCAGAGGGCGTCACGCAGGAGACAAATAACCACCTCCGTGGGCTCGGGCCTTCTTCCCTCCGTATTTTCCCGGCTCCTAGGCGCCGTTCCCTTAGGGGCTTGCCTAATGGCGGATGCAAATTGTCCAGAGAGGTGGGGATAAGGGATGGGATCTCGCTGCTTGGAGAGGAAAGTGGGTTGCATCATAGAGTTTTTACTAGGAGCCTGGCTGTTGGGAGGAAGTGGGCACATACTGACTTCTTGCTCCGTGAGGGCACCCTCACCCGTTTAACCAAAGCCCGTGCCTCCGCTAGTTCTTCTTTCCCAGGATTCCCTCACCAAAATGGGCCCTTATTTTCTGATAGAACAAGAGAACTTGAAGTCTGGAATCCTGAGGCCAAGTTCAGGTGTGCTGAGGCACTCACCTAGCTCAGCATAATTTTCTAGAGGACTGAGTGATGAAACCAATGAAACAGAAAGTGTGATATGGAGAGAACAGAGTCAGTGAGAGCTAGCTTGGACACACAAGATTCCTCAACTCTGTCCCCAGGCCATATCCAGGTAGAAGCTCTCCCTGGACTTTGTAACACCAGGCCGGCTGGGTCCTCTGGAAATAGGTGATGGACTTCCGGTGGGAGTAGGCAGCAGCTCTTCCAGATAGAGGTGTGCTCCCAGCCCCTATCAGGGGCTTAGAGATGATGTGCGTTAGAGATGATGGTAATAACATCCAGCTGTGGGTATTTGGATCGCTTTCTCAGCCTTGATGAGTTGAGAGCCCATCTGTAGGCGCTCACTTTCCTGCTGAAACATACAGGTGCTTCTCAGGAAAAGCCTTGAAGGGCAGAGGAGGTCTGATTTAATTCTCCAAGTCTCTTCAAGAAGTCACTCCTCAAAGAGGAATGAGGTAGCCTAAAGAGAGAGTCTGGGACTGAGAATCTGGTAGTGGGAAGCCCAGCCCTATGGCCCTAATTTGGGGCACTGGAGTTCATCAAATTGCAGTCTAAGGCAGACTCAGGTTTTAGTTCAGACTAGCAACCGTGAGCCCCCATATCATCACACTCTCACCTCTGCCCTTTTTGGTGGCCAATATTTTAACAACCTCTGTGTATCCACCAGGCAATTCTTGTGGTGTAGTGACTAAGGCATTTGACTGCTAACCAGAAGGCTGGCGGTTCAGACCCTCCAGCCACTCCTCAGAGGAAAGACTGGCCAACCACTCTACTTCCATAGAGATACCTCCTAGGAAATCCAAGGAGGAATCACTATGAGTCGGATTTGACTTTTGACTTTGGAGGCAGCGAGTTTGGTTTTTACTTTTTTTTTTTTGCTCTATCCACCAAGGACCTCTGGTGGTACAATGCCTAAGGCATTTGACTGCTAAACAGAAGATTGGCAGTTCAAACCTACCAGTCTCTCTGTGGAAGGAAGATGGGACAGTCAACTTCTGTAAAGATTTACCCCCTTGGGAATCCAATAGGGGTTTCTATGAGTAGGGATCAACTCGATGGCAGTACGTTAGGGTTTTTTTGGTTTACCTATCCACCACCTGTGTAGGCACTCCAGGTTGTGGCCAGTGTGTGCTTATCCAGTGGTGCTCACTCACCTCCAGTGGGACAGGTTATGTGGCTGGAAATTGGCTAGTAGAGCACGTCAGTATATCTTTCTGCAGAACCTCTGGGCCTCTCTAGATGCTGGGTCTCTCATCTGCTTAACTATTCTTGGCCTCAGTGGTCTCATTTGTAAAAGGGGAACAATAAACCCTGTCATGACTAGCTAAAAATGGTTTTGGAAGATGAAGATAAAGCAAAAAGACACCTCTGCATGTGCTTGATAAATAATTTAAGTCTCTGGCTCCAGGTGAAAAGAATATAATAGCTGCCTCTTCCTCTTCTCGGAACACCCGTCATCCCCTTTCTGGTCCTGAAGCCAGCTGCTCTGCTCGGTACCATTCAGTAGCAGCCTCTTGCCTGAGGCCCAGATCAGCTGCGTAAGTTGAGGTGGGATGTGGCTGCACTTGCAGCCGGAATGCTCCTTAGAGGTGAGAATGGCCAGACTTCGTCAGAAGGGACCAGTCCCTGGAGAAGGATATCATGGCTTGGTAAAGTGGAGGGTTAGAGAAAGAGGGGAAGACCCTCAACAAGATGGACCGACACAGTGGCTGCAATAATGGGCTCAAGTGTAGCAGGGATTGTGAGGCTGGCCCAGGACCGGGCAGTGTTTTGTTCTGTTGTGTGTCGGTTTGCTGAGTCGGAATCAACTCAACAGCACCTAACAACAGGAACAAGAGCTAATTAATCCCTTGGTGGCCACAAGCACCTCACATTTGCGTAGTCCTACCCAGTCATTTGGTGGCCCCGTTTACTCTGCTGAATGTTTAGATGGGTTGTATTAAGTAATTCACTGCACTGCAACGTGCCAACTCCAAATTTATCCTTTTTGCCTGCTCTGTGAAAATGGATTTGGGCACTTTAAATTATTTTTTCTTTGCTACCTGACACCATAAGGAGTTCTGGTGATGCAGTGTTAAGGCATTTGACTGATAACCCAAAGGTTGGTGGTTCCAACCCAGCAGCTACTCCGCAGAAGGAAGGTGGGGCAATCTACTTCCATAAAAACGTACTGCCTTGGAAACCCAACGGGGGTCACTGCTATGAGTTGGAATCGACTAGATGGCAGGGGGTTTTCAGCTGACATCACATGAAGTTTTGTCCGTGGATGTTTGGGGAGACATTGCAGTAAGAAAGAATTTTGCTTCCTGTTTCCAGTGGCCCGTATTACAGTGCAAGGGGGTTCCCCAACTCCCAGCTTCTGCAGCTCAGGCAGCTTCTCCAGCTCAGGCAGCTTCTCCAGTGCCCAGCTCCTGAAGTACACAGTGGCCAGCAGGACCCAAAGCCCAGCAGCTTCCCCTGGCAAACGTCTCAGAAGATTTTATAGTGGAGTGCCTCCAAGGAGATGTCTTCTTATAAGCTGTTGTTGTTATGTGCCGTCGAGTCAGACCCGACTCATAGCAACCCCTCCTTAGGTTTCCCAGGCATTATCACTATGGAAGTAGATTGCCCAACCTTCCTTCCAAGGAGTGGCTGGTGGGTTTGAAACGCCAGCCTTCTGGTTAGCAGTCAAGTGCCTGAGGCACTATGCTACCAGAGCACTCTCTATATTCTATTGCCTTCTCTTTCACTATCTAATCTTTTATTTCTTTAATTCCTTGTTATAGTTGGTAATTCTTTATATTAAACTTTTCTTGTTCAAATTAATATGTTGGTTCTGATTGGACCTAGACTCATGCTATCAACAACAAAAATACTAATATTTCCAGTGTTAAATACAATATCTGAATTTTCAAAGTCACTACTGTAAAGAGAGTAGGTGTGGTAGTTAAGGTTATGCATCAACTTGGCTGGGCCTGGGTCTGAGTGGCTGGGCAGCTGGATGTAGTTATTCCCTGTGA